CCCATTAGTTTTCCTCTCTGCTCAATGGGAGACGCAGAAAAGCTAAAGGAAAGAAACAGCATTCCCCTCCTCAACTCGCTATTAGAACAGGCAGCAATGTTATCTAACGCTAATTGTATACCGCCAGTGTTCATCATAGTCATGCGCTGGGGTTGGCAAAGAATAAAGCATGGGTTGAGATTTAGCCTTTATTAGAGTTCGGCTATTCTCATCTTTGATTGAACACGACCCAACACGAATGTTTGGCGATGCTGATTACCAAGAATCCGAGCGCTCGGCTCAGGCTCATGACAACCGAGTACGTCACGGTGTCGCATAACTCGCGGTGAAAAGTCGTGACGGCTAATGCCCTTGAATAAAAAAGGTAGTGACATCTTGTCCCTCCTCCTTTGACGCACACACGTTTTATCTTTGTGTTTTGCTTTTTTACACCCGCGCGTCAACTGTAGCGCCGTTTAGTTTGGGGTAAGATAGCACACGGTTTCCCTATACTTCAGTCGGAGCGCAGTCAAAGACTGAAAGACACGCAAATACATACACACAGGCTAAAAGCGCACTGTCACTGTCTACCAGCCTTGAAGGATGTGATCAAAGAAAGACGATGAAAGCCGTGACGTTGCACAGTCGGCGTTATTTGATTGGCGACATGAGCTTATAGCATGCACTGCACTCCGACAGCATAGGCATTCCTTCTCTCTCCTCCTGTGATGCGCACACCTTTTATCTTCATGTTTTGCTTTTTTACACCCTTGCGTCGACGGTAGCGCCGCCTGGTTTGGCCCAAGATAGCAGGCGGCATTCTTCAAAGGAGGTCGCTGCTTTTCTTTATCAATGAGCTTTAGTGGTGGCACGTGACGTCACGGTGTCAACAACGCTAATATATCTATATTCCGTTGCAACTCAAGAAGGTAGGGCGAGGGAAAAGAGGGCTGGGGAGGAAGAAGCAGACGAAATGTTGGAGAAGAGAGGGGGAAATTGACGTTCTGAATTTAACTCGTCTTGGACGCGGTGAGTAATCCGACTATGCCGTGGGGCCACGTGGCGTTACATTATCTAATAGCATGTCTTTTTTTTTTTCGTTACGTCCGCCATTAGGCCGGAACCGCGTTTTCGCTGCCCGCTTGGAGAGGCGATATATCCTCATTTCTCTCCTTCTTGCCTTTTCCGCAGGGTGGAGCGATCCTCTCTTGAAACCCTGACGTCATGTGACCACGTGGCACACGATTAATTGTAGTGCCGATACAAAAGCGCCACGAGAACCCACAATTTCTTTTACATTGCAATTCGGTTTATGAAATTTGATCACTACATAGAAATGCACCTGCCAATTTTTACTTCTCAAACACCCATTTTGTACTAAAAAAAAATTACCGTGAACCGTTTTGAACCGGTTACCGTTATATTTTTTTCCAGTTTAGTTCCGGTTCAGTTCCAAGATGGCGGCGAAGATTTCGGTTCGGTTCAGTTCCGGTTCGGCTAAAAATAACGGTTCTGTTCCGGTTTTCGGTTCGGTTCGGTTCCGGTTCGACACTCTGATCGAAACACCAAACCTTCGGCTGCACAGGTGAATGTACTCCATTAAAGAAGTTCAGAATTAATGGTAACTTACGTAAAATACCGAGGAAGCGCCCATACCCGTACAAGCGCCCACTATTAACATTTTCGAAATTCGAAAATTTGGGCAAGTACACATCAAGCGCAAATATTCTCGGAAGCGCCGGCGGTCCCGGCAGCCGCCGCGGCAAGCACGCTGCCGAAGGTTGCCGCAGCGGACCGGGCCCGGAGACCGATTCCCGTAGAATTGGGTCACTGAGGTCTCTCCGGGCAATTTGTCCTTCACGTTACTGCAGCATTGTGTGGTCCGCACAATCCGGGAGTAGCAACGACAGGACCAATAGGAGTGTAGATAACATCCAGTTCGTCCCAGCATTTCGTAAAATACATCTTGATAAATGCTTCGTGCTTCCCGATTGCCGTTGGTCACTCAGGTGGCAAGCAACCAGCACAAGATGCACTCCTACACAGTCTCCAAAAAGATTGAAGTCGTCGACTGGCATCGGGCGTCGGGAGGCAAAGTCAGCCGCACCTCTCGTCATTTCAAGATCGACAGGAAGCGAATACGTGAGTGGGACTCTAAGTACGAAACCCTGAAGCAATTTAACTACGGCAAGCAGAAGATGAAGAGGAAATTCACGAATGCCCGTCTTCAGTGAGGAGGTGGATGACGCACTGTTTGAATACTTTCAAAGGGACCGAGATGCCGGCCAGGCCGTCAGCAACCGGCTCCTTGCAGACGAGGCACTGAGGATAGCTGAGAGTCTAAATCTTGGCAACTTCAAAGCGTCAACACAGTATATCAAGCGATGGAAGCACCGATTTTCGATGACTATGCGTACGGCGACCAACGACAGCCAGAAGGCCCCTGCCGGCTGCGGCGAAGCTGTCACTGCATTCCGCTCTACAATTGCTACTTTGCGAGCACGGTACTACACGCCATTCAACATCTGCAATATGGACCAGACCATGGACAGAATGGACAATTCAGCGACCCGCACCAATAATGTTGCTGGTGAAAACAGCATCCGGATCGCCAACACCGGCTGCGCCCGTCGAGGCTTCACCGTCGCACTGGCAGCGCGTGCGTCGGGGGCGAAACTTCCGGCATTTGTCGTACTCAAGGAACCCACAGGGAGGATCCCTGCCCGTGCGTTCATGGCGCTCCGCATACCAAGTAAGTTTGGCGCATTTCCTAACAAGTTCTGCTTCGTTTCGTTGACTGTGACGCGGTGGTTCCTTCGAAAGATGAAAGCATGGCAAGAGCAACGAGTTTGTAAAGTTTGACGCCAATGATATTCGAGATTCGGGACCGTCGTAACCGCGTTCTGCTTCGCTTCGTTATGACTAAGACGCAGTTGACGCACTTCCCGACAAAATACGAAACCCTGCCAAGAGTCACGAGAGACGAAAGTTTGTAAACGACAAATCGCGATGACGAAATGACCCACCTACCTTCAGAAACGTAAAAGCTCGACTGTGCTTCTGCCAGAGTAACTAAGGGTAACTGCACTAACGCTATGACGTAACGCGTGACGCGTGGGGGCCCGAAAGACGAATATGCCCTCGGCGCCCTGAGCAGGCAGGTCGTGTTCGATGTGCTCGACTGGACCTGATTTCTCCGGCTTATCGCGACTTAAAACTGTTATCATGGGTCTGATTAGTAACTTCTGGAACACGACCAACCGAAGTAGTAGCTGCACGGCTGCACGTAGTTTGACACCGTCGGTTGCGTAACTGTACTTTTGTCCTGTTTCCGTTTTTGCAGCAAACGTTCGTTTGACGTCGTCCGAAAATGGTTGGATGACAACCGACATATGCCTGGAATGGCTCAGCCGTGTTTGGGGTTCCGATATCGACGACGTTCGCCGCTTGCTAGTGATCGACCAAGCGCCGATACGCAAGACGAAGGTGGTCATGGACACTGCAGAAGCCTCCGCTACGGACATCGTAGACATTCCAGGAGGCTGCACTGGAATTCTACAGCCTGCGGACGTGTATTGGAACAAGTCGTTTAAGGATTCGCTTCGTACGTCATGGGCGGAGTTCATGCGGAAGGGAGACAAGCCACCAAAAGGGAACCTCCGGAAGCCTTCGAGGCAGGACGTCCTCAACTTCGTGTCAAAGGCCTGGGCAGCCATGCCCGAAGACATGATCGCCCAATCTTTCAAGGGGTGCGGCATCAGTGGCGCGCTGGACGGTAGTGAGGGTGGCTACCTGCACAACGGACTCGCGGGCATCGGAGCACCGGCAGCCTGCTCCAATCCCGAAGGTGTCAGCGATGAGTGCGTATACCTTGTCTTTTGCAGTGATTCCGAAGAGTAATTTGACGGATTTAGTGATAACGAGTGAATAATGACGTCTACCAATCATCTGTACAGCGGGAATAAAAAAGCCAGGCTGGCTGCTTTCTCTGTTTCCATGGCTCTATGAGGCTCTTCATCGGCCGCCATCTTGATTTAGGCGCATGAACCTAATAAGCGCCCATAGTTGGTTTTACGCGTATTTTAAAAAAAAAAATGGGGTTGGGCGCTTCGGGATTTTATGGTCATTTCCATACCAAACGGTCAGCGTCACTTCATAAGTACAGCAATTGTTAGGAGGATAACAAACTACGGAGCACCGGTTTTCTAAGCCCTGTACAGCCGCCTAGCTAACTTCACGATGCTGGTCGTGCTTGACTATTTTAGATTTGCTACGTCAAGGTTTTGTCTCCCTTCCTGACTGAACCAGGTGTCACACAAAAGCATGAGCAACAAATGCATGACGTCAGGCGCATTGTCAGTTCAGAGCAAAAATACTAAACGATTTTGAGCACTCAAATCTGAATTTATTGGCACTAGCTTGGTGTCTCCTTTTTGCATTGTGCACTGTCTTGGAATACCGCTATCGTAGAACCGTTGGCGGTGATGTATACGAATTGGATCTGTCGTGGGAAACTAAAATAATAAACTGATTCCTCTCTTTAACATTTCCCTCGCTACTCACTCTGCGGCGCAGTAGATATATCGTATGGTCACGAGTCTGTTCTTTGTGTTTACTTTAATCATGATTCTGCTCTTTACAAATAAGTTACGCTTCAGTAAACAGTTAGTCTGGTCAAATACATTTCATTCTCGATAGTGGCTGGTTTTTTTCTGGCTATGAAAACATTCACGTGTTTGTAATTTTTATATTTTCTACGTTTTTATTAAGATTTAAATTGTCGTATTATATTTATCTCAATGCCTTCCAACCTGAAACCGAAGTTGAAATGCCACAAATGTAATTTTACAGCGTCCACGGAATGAAATTAACAGTACAATTTTAGCTGCTACTAAACTTCTGTCACGAATCCTTTCAACACAAGAATGAATTTAATATAATGGTGGATGTATTAATTTCAACAGGTGATGATCTTTAGAAGCACGTAATAAAAATTTAAAAAGCCAAAATAGGGTAAATACCTCATTAAATGTTGCAGTTGGTGTCTTCCCAGAACAAATTCCACAGATAGACGATAAAACAAGAAGGGCAGTGAAAGTTTTGGCAAGCAGTCGTGAATGCATGGCTGCAAATTGACCTAGAAAAAAAACCCATTAAGATGAGAGAGGTAAAATACGAGATGCAGGCCAAGACTGTCTCTACAAAAATAAGCAGAATTCAAAGCAGCTTACATCTGAGAGAACGCTGTGTGGTGCCCAGAAACCGCAAAAACTTAACTTAATCACATTTTCAGCCAGTACAATGAAAGCCTGAGCGTGGGTCGTGGCAAGGTAAGTGTAAAAATTACACGGGACATGAACAAAACGAGGATATCATGTACAACATGCAAATTTTGATATTTAATACACTAATATCGGTAAGCTTTGCATGAGTTTCTGAGGTTCACCGACACACACTCTCTTTCTAGGATTATCACTAGGAGCTTTAAATCGGTGTAAAGGCTAAGAACGTGTTTCCAAGGGTAACAACCGATAGGATAGTTTGCGTTCTACAACATAAGTATAGTCTTCTTTTATTCTGAACGAAGGATGATGCACAGCAAACTTACACACTCTGTATGAAATAAATTTATTGGTTCAGCCATCAGACCTTCCTTTCTTGCATTGGTTTATTTTTTGTTTCAAGTTTACTTTCATTTAAATATTTTAATATCTAATGCTTGAGTTCTAGCAGGCTATTGTGATGTTTTTTGCTGTCATTATTATTTCTAAAATAACAAATTTTAAATCTCGCTGGTAATTTGTTTGCGTGCATCGAAAAGGCTACAAACCCTTATTCATTTCTGATTACTTTAAGCAAGGCTGTTAAACTGATTTTCTTTTCTATGTTGCAAAACTGCTACTACACATATCATTCGATGTCCCCTTTATCTTTACATAGTGGCACCAAGCTCACGAACAGCGTGGAGCAAACTTAGAATTGTGCTAAAATAACTAGCTTCTTTCAATTAAAATTGCTTGATTCTCTTATAAGACCAAACATTTATTAAAAATCGACATGTAGGATAACTTTTGCTGAATTTCAGTGGTGTTAACGTGAGTTTAACCTTCGTATGGCATTATGTGCTGGTTAGAGATATCACAATTGAGCCTTCCGAAAAATTTCTCAGCAATTGATCCACGGGAAGCCGTCGTTGACGGGTGGTTGTGCCGCATCTCCAAAATGAGATTCCGGCAGAGCTTAGAAAGGCTGCCACACCAATGGCGCGAGAGCATTCAGCTCCAATTGGAACTTATAAAGAAGGTGGACGTATCTACCCACATCTGAGTGGCCTGAATCTGCAATAAAATAATAGGGTAACTCAATATGGTACGCCCCTGTAACATTATACTTTCATGTCTTAAAATTATGAATGGTCGTTCCTTGCATCACCTAAAATTTATGCTTCGAGACCAAAGATATATAATTTTCGAAGAATAAGTTATATTATCATTCATGGCCACTAGAAGAGCTAAAATTACTAGTGGAAAAATGTTTGTCACTCGTTCATTCTTTGCCAAACAAAAAGATAAAAGCTGCGTTAACTTACATTATTATTAATGGCACAGTATGCTATACTTACTCAATGAATAGTTTGTTAGGGGCTTTGGTAAAACACCCCTTGGATCCGACCAACTTAGTTAAAATTAATAATGTCTTGAGAACAAAAAATTCACAACATAAAATAGCTCCACGTGTATGACATTAGTACGCAGCAAGAGACAGTGCGAACACTACAATCAGCTGTTTCGCTCTTTACTTTTACAGTTTAGCGTCTAATCGCGAATTCTACCATCAAAGCTGAAAGCCCGCGTCGGCACATTTCGTTACACAAGTATGTATCGTGATAAAATTTTAACTGTTAGAAAAAACCGACAGTTGAGTGTTCGCGCAAACTTTTTATTTCTTATTTGCAATATCTAAACTTTATTTTGATCGCGATATAGGTGGACGGGTTGTCTTTAAGGTAAACCTGAAGACGTATGTCAAAATTAATGTTAATTTGATGTGGCAATCTTTAAATGCTTATAATCACGGCCAAGCCTTCATCAGGAGAAAAGGCTACAAAAGTGCAAAATAGTATTTTACTCCTGCAAAAACAGTAGTACTTAATGTTCTCAGAATATGTTAAAAAGTTAGATTTGCAAAAGTGTTTTACGTACCTTACGTAAATATTCGAAGCCTTGCTCTTCTCTACCTTCAATATACTGCAATATGTTTCTAGCTATCTCTAAAATAACATGATTTCACAGCTGTGCTTCATTGCCTTTCTTTGCCAATCAAAAAAAAAACTCTCAAGTGCAGGTGGTTTCTTTTGCACACCGCACTGTATGACAAATTTCACAAGTGTCCATAGATTTACTTCGTTTCGTTTGTTTTTCTGCACTAGTTTCCAACCGTCGCAGTGTAGACGATTGGCAGTTGGACATATGAAACTGTTAATCAGAGAAAGAAATAAGATACTGCAGACAGTCACCATATGTGATCTACGGTATCTTTATAATTACCCAAAGAATTCACTTCATGATGACGTTTTTTTATATCAATTTCTAGCGCAAATTTATTTTCTGACTCATGAATATACATATACTGCAGTCTAGCACGGGCACTTTTCATAATCGTACGTGGTCTTCAAAAAGGAAACCAAACAATGTCTACGAATCCGCAGGAGGAAACAATATTTGACGGGGCCAGGATGTGATTGATATATTATGGCCCTTCCTGTTCTGTTTTTACTTTTGGTCGGAGATGCACCTCTCAACCTCGTCCCTGCCGATAAAAAGAACCCTTCCTCGCTATAAATTAGAACTGAAAATATTAATTTTCGAAGTGTTATCTTTCAATACTTTACAATTTCGAAAGTACTAAATTCCCAAGCACATTTATAAGAACATTAGACATTTTGTACACCATTAGACTGATTGAACGAAGATTGCAAACAATCTAAAAACGTTTAAAAGTATTATTATCGGCGTGCATTATCCCACCTGGAATGGTACGTTGGTTTCAATATGGGTGCCTCTACATAGTACCAGACGGACTCGTGAGTGGTTAGTAGTGGTTAGCATACCCGACAGACATTGGGAGACCAAAAGTTCAAATCCCGGCTCCGCCAAAGTATATGCCTTTCGGCGGCTTCGTAGACTTTTTTTTATCAAGCTCGGTTCATTCATCTGCATATTTTCAATTACCTACTACAGTCGAAAGGGACAATTATATGACGGTAAGTAAAACAAAAATGTAGCAGACGCCTATGTAGCTGAGTAATTTTCCACGAAAATGTCGGCGCCGTCGCATCCAGATATAAGCTTTATTTTATTCTTCACCGGGTCAGTTGTGTATTTGAATAATACAGCATTTGCTACAATCTAGGAATAGCACGCTTTCTCTGCCACCCTTTTTGATACAGACTGCAATTTTCGCTTCGCTGTCAGCTAGGAACCCTCTAGAAATTGCAGTGATAATCCATGGACGTGCACCGCACGGTAGTGCAAGCACAGGCCCAATATCTACAAAAGCGCTCGCGAAATTAAAGACACATTTCGTTGAAACCTAATGTCTTGCGTCTACCTTCGATCCCATAAGACCACGAAAAGCTAACCACAGCAGTACTGGGCTTATCAAGGAGTGGCCTGGCTCTTTAAATCGACCGCAAAATTCGGTTTCTTAACCTATCGCGCTACGACTTTGTAAAACGTTGCCAACAGATGGTGAATTTTTTTTTTTTTTGTGAAATTTGCAAAGAGCGAACTCATTTGAGGAAAAAGTAAAGAAAGAAAAAGGCTTAGGTCCTATGAAAATGCGGCGAAAACAAAGGTCTTCAAACAATGCGGCGCTGTTTCGCACGGGAGACAAGAGATGGCGCAAGCGGTCGCGATGCCAACTGCCGCCAACGAACGAGCATACGGGGCCGAGAGCCGGCGTCTTTAGCAGATGATCTTTTCGACTCAAAAGCGGCAAGAGCTTTTCTGATATCAGTTGCCAATGCATTATTTCTTACTGATAAAACATATTGAGTGGACACATAATCGATTAGAAAAATGGTTTGTCGGGATATTTTGACTTTTTTGGGGGGTACCGATGTCGCCTGCTTTGCAGTTCCTTGTTGTTACCGCGCCTGCTTTTGTTTCTGCGACTGTCGCCTGCGGAACGCGCTCCACTTTTGAGTCCAAAGATAGTCTGCTCAAGACGCCGGCTTTCTACGCCGTATACTCGTTCGTTGGTGCAGCTGGCATCCCGACCGCTTGCGCCATCTCTTGTCTTCCGTCCGAAACGGCGCCGCATTGTTTGAAGACCTTTGGCTTCGCCGCATTTCCATAGGAGCTAAGCGTTTTTCTTTCTTTACTTTTTCCTTAGGTAAGTTCGCTCTTTGCCGATTTTACAAAAAATATGCACCATCTGTGGGCAACGCTGCACAAAGTCGTAACGCGATAGGTTAAGAAACCGAATTTTGCGGTTGATTTAAAGAGCCTGGCCACTCTTTAATACACCCAGTATATGCACGTTTGCACGCAGTCACGCTATAAAAACATGGCGAATATGGTCACCGTGGTGTGGTGCATGGAACGGGTCCACGACTGGTGTGTTTGTCGTGTTCTAGAACGCGGTCCCTAGATTTCCGCCTGATGACGTCATACAAATGTCACGTTGACGCCGGCCGCGATCCTGGCAGTCTCAAAGCAGCGGTGGAGGATGTGCAGTAGAAGTCTGTTCTGTTACAGGCTACTCTCCAGCCTGACAATCCATAGAACTTAAACATATAAAATAGCGCAAAAAATACAAGGACAAGAAGTAACAGGACGGCTCATTCATGTTACTTCTTGACCTTTTTTTTGCGCTATTTTATATGTTTAACTAAGCTGAACAAACTAGCCCAACAACGTAGCCTAGTAATCCATGGAAGCTTCAGCAGCCAGGAACCGGGTCCCCGCGATGACAACGACAGTCGCGTTCGTTGATGCGTTTTACTGTGACCTCTAGCCCCAAAACCGACAACATGATACGCCGGCATCTTTGACGTCATTTGTTGCCACTTCGGGACCACCTTTGATGTATGGGCGTGATAGAAGGCTAAAAACACCAGTCCGAGACCCGTTACAAGCAGCGTAACCGCAGGCAAAAAATCGCTTGATGGGGTGCCGGTCTGGCAACCCTGGACACGCCTCAGCAAGGCTTGACTATTACGCTCTAAGCTCGGTAACACTTACTATAGGTGGACGTTTTCAAATTTTAGTATACCTTTATTTTATAAGGTACTATCGGAAACAATATGAGCGTGAACGGGCCTCCGCGTGTCGCCGCTACCTGTTGCGCCGCCCTCGTGGTTCCTTAGTGAAGTTTTGCGCATGCGTGTAAGGGCCCCGCCGCTGTTCTCGCCTCGGCTGCTAGCCCCCGTCTGTCGTCTGGAACGTGATTTGTGCGAGCACTGGCGGCCGCCCGCGCTGTCGTCTGCTGCTCGACTCGTGCGTGCGCTGGCGACTACGCAGGCGGCCGATCGCGCTGTCTTGCACTGCTCAAATAATTTTCGCGCTAGCAGCGCTCATGCAGCGTATTCAAATGCGCTTTCTTTTTTTTTTTTTTTTGAAACACAGTCGACGCCGTTAACTTTTTGGTCCTAACAAAATGCGAAAAGTTAATTGTTCTGGCTTGAGACAATGATCAATTTCATTCATTCGTAGCGTAGAAGAAAAGGCACAGTGCAAGTCGTCGACAATTTTTTTTTTTAACCAGTTTTGGTTGTGTCCAGAAACGACACCGTTTAAGTCCTCTCGTAGTGAGCTTATCGAACCCATGTTAGACAGCATATGGGATGTATTCACGTGTTAGAATCGCCTGCACAAAAAATAAAAGCGCCTTTGTTTTACTGAAAGTATTCGTGAACATCGACACCGTTAACGCTGGCCAGGGTAAACGCGATTCGCGTAGGAAGCGCGGGTGTCCGCCAGCACACATACAGGTCGAGCAGCAGACTTGTATGTGCGAGCGGCCGCCAGCCATAGTGTCAGTACTTACAGGGCTCACATAGCAGACGACAGCGTGAGCACCACCAGCGCACACACGAGGCGCGCAGCACGAGTCG